GCACAATCTCTCTCTCTCTCTCTGTGATTTGCACAATCTCTCTCTCTGTCATTTGTACAATCTCTCTATATATGTGTGTGTATGTCATTTGCATAATCTATGTGTGTGATTTGCACAATCTCTCTATGTGTGTCATTTGCACAATCTCTCTATATGTGTGTGATTTGCACAATCTCTCTGTGTCATTTGCACAATCTGTGTGTGTGTGATTTGCACAATCTCTCTATATGTGTGTGTGTGATTTGCACAATCTCTCTCTGTGTGTCATTTGCACAATCTCTCCATGTGTGTGTGATTTGCACAATCTCTTTCTCTCTCTGTGTCATTTGCACAATCTCTCTCTCTCTCTATGTGTGTGTGTGTGTCATTTGCACAATCTCTCTATGTGTGTGCATGTGTGATTTGCACAATCACAATACACACACACACACACACACACACACACACACACACAGAGCCATCCACGAGCATCCTCCACTGCGAGGTATCTTCTTCTCCCCAGGTCATTTGCACAATCTCTGTGTGTGTGTGTGTGTGTCATTTGCACAATCTCTCTATGTGTGTGCATGTGTGATTTGCACAATCACAATACACACACACACACACACACACACAGAGCCATCCACGAGCATCCTCCACCGCGAGCTATCTTCTTCTTCTTCTTCTTCTCCCCAGGTGGGCGTGCTTTACACGCACCTACACACACACACACACAACACACAACACACACACAGAGGCGCGCGCCCGCGCAATCGGAGGAGCCGCGGAGGCTCGTCGTGCAGCAATCCGGGCCAAAGGAAGGTTGCAAAAAAAAAAAAAAAAAAAAAGCCCACGCGCGAGCATGCCGGTCCCTCGTGCAAACACACGCCACCCCCCCCATCCCAGCCCTTCCACGCCCCCCTGCCCTTCCCCAAAATCCCTCCGGCCCTGGAGGAAAAGGGGGGGGGTTGCAAAGAAGGTAGGGGGGGGCCTGGGGGGGAGGGAGACCCCCGGGATTCCCACCCACCCCCACCTGCCCTTCTTACTCTTTGCAAGCCGAGGTCCGGGCGGGCGCAGCTGCCGGGGGCTTTTCTGGCAAGCCAGAGCCGGCTTTTTCCGGGCGTGGGGGGTTCATCCACCCCGAGCCGAGCCCAGGCAAACCGGCGCAGCTTTCCTTGCGCGGCTACGGGAGCGATCCAGACGAGCAGCGCAAGGGAGGAAGGCGAGCGCCGCCACCGGCATGGCAAGCGAGCGAGCGAGCCCCCCCCCGCCTCCGCGAGTCAGCCGCTTCCCCACGCGCGCCCTCGCCCGACACGCGTCTTGCTCCCTTTTCTTGCGGCAAACGGCGGCCACGCCCCCCCACCCACCCCCCCGGCCTCAGCCTATCAGCGGGCAGGATCGAGGAGGAGGGTGGATCGCCCGGCTTCGTAACTCTTCTCTCCCCGCAGAGCCGTTCTCCAGCTGGGCTGCCGGCGGAGGGCGAGCCGGCTTCGGGGGTGGCTGGGTGGGTCGAGTGGGTCGGTTCCCACGTGCACGGAGCGCCCTGATGGGAAGGGGCAGTGTAACGTGGGAATGCAAGGTGGGGAGGGGGGGAGGACCCACCCGAGGAGAAGCCACCACGTGCCTGGTTGGTTGGTTGGTTGGTTGGACAGGTGGGCTGGTGCGGTGTTTTTGGGGGTGCGAATCCTGACGGTGAGCGGGTCCCATCGTGGGAAAATGGTTTTATATATATATTTATTTATTTATTTATTTATTTTATTAAATTTGTATACCGCCGTTCTCCTAGTGGATCAGGGCGGTGCGCAGCCAGAACTAAAACACATACATACATACATACATACATACATACATACATACATATGTAGGTCTTTGGTTATTTGGGTTTTCTCCCGCGTAAAATTGGAAGTGTCTTGGCGACGTTTCGACGAAGTCTCATTCGTCATCTTCAGGCTGGTGTCTTCGACTTCGTGCTTCTAGGACAGTGGGTCTCAACCTTCCTAACGCTGCGACCCTTTAATACAGTTCCTCATGTTGTGGTGACCCCCAACCACAAAATTATTCCTAAAACCATTGAAAATATGTGTTTTCCGATGGTCTCAGGCGACCCCTGTGAAAGGATTGTTCGACCCCCCCCCAAAGGGGTCCCGACCCACAGGTTGAGAACCACTGTTCTAGGAGCTTCTTCGTGCTCCTAGAAGCACGAAGCCGAAGACACCAGCCTGAAGATGACGAATAGGACTTGGTCGAAACGTCACCAAGACACTTCCAATTTTACGCGGGAGAAAACCCGAATAACCAAAGACCTACTTACAAACACCCATGAAAACCTCAGAAAACATACATACATACATACATACATATATATATATAGTATAGATGTGTGTGTGCATATCTATACTGTAGAGTAGACAGACAGACAGATAGATTATAGAGACAGACACAGGTGATAGAATTGGATGGATGAATGGATTGGATGGATGGACACAGGCACAGATAAGAGGATAGATAGAGTCGGCAGTAGACAGATAACTCAGAGGTGAAATCCAGCAGGTTCAGCACCTAGAATTCAGCTACTGAGGTGGGACAGGTTTTGGCCTAATTGAGGGTCAGTTGCAGGGGTGAAATCCAGCAGGTTCTGACAGGTTCTGGCGAACCGGTAGCGGAAATTTTGAGTAGTTTGGAGAACCGGCAAATACCACCTCTGGCTGGCCCCAGAATGGGGTGGGAATGGAGATTTTGCAATATTCTTCCCCCAGGAGTGGGGTGGGAATGGAGATTTTGCAGTATCCTTCCCCTGCCATGCCCACCAAGCCACGCCACGCCCAGAGAACTGGTAGTATAAAAATTTTTGATTTCGCCACTGCGATGAATACATAGTTGGTAGACCAGAGAGAAAGACAGACAGACAGATTATAGAGACATGATAGAATTGGATGGATGGATGGATGGATGTATCATGGATAGATGGATGGATCATGGATGGATGGATGGATCATGAATGGATCATGGATGGATGGATGGATCATGGATGGATGGATGATAAGGAAATGATGGGTGAATAGGTGAGAGAGAGAATGGTTAAATGGATGGATGGATCATGGATGGATGGATGGATGGATAGATAGATAGATAGATAGATAGATAGATAGACAGACAGACAGACAGACAGATATGGATCATGGATGGATGGATGGATGGATAGATAGATAGATAGATAGATAGATAGATAGATAGATAGATAGATAGATAAATAGATAGAGATAGATAGATAGATAGATAGATAGATAGATAGATAGATAGATAGATAAATAGACAGACAGACAAACAGATAGATATGGATCATGGATGGATGGATGGATGGATGGATAGACAGACAGACAGACAGATACTGTGGAAAGACAGAAAGATTGATGGTCTCTGTGTATAAGTCTAGTTGAGTGTATGCACACATACACACACACACACACCTAAACTTATAAACGGAAACCATTAAGTAGAAACGTAGCTGAAGGATAAGATTTCCAGGATAAGATTTGATTCCAACCTCGCAGGGTTGTCGTTCAGTTGCCACCCCCAGCCCCACCCCCAGCACTTTCTTAAATTGTCCCAGTTGCAGCTCCTGCAGCAAAGGTCAGACAGGGTCGTCCCGATCAGGGAACATTTCTGCATGTCTTCAAGGTCAGCCCCACGGAGAGTGAACTGCAGTAGTCTAATTAAGGGACCCCACGGGTGCGACCAAATCGCCCCCCAGTGGCCCCTGTTCAAGGCAAAAGTGATGCAAAGCTGGTCAAAACTCCTCCAAGCTACCATCGCTCCTCTGCCAGGCGGCAACTAACCAACTTCAGCTAACATTAGTGACCAAACACGGATTAATAATCTTGGCATCGGTTGGGTTGAGGAATCCACAGACTGCTCAATCTTGTTCGGATTGAGTCTGAGCATCTCCTGGATTTCTATCCCATCTCTGGTGGAAGAACTCGTGGGGTTGGGGGCTTGGGGGGGGGACAGGGTAGGTCATCTTCCAGCTAACAAGGGTTCTGAATTTTACAAGGGTCCCACACAGACCCCCCCCACACACACCCTTCATTCACACCCTTGTACCCACCTTTGTTGCAGGAATTGGGTGTGTCTAGTTTATCAAAAAGACGAAGTAGGGATGATATGATAGCTGACTTCCAACTTTTTGAAGGGGCTATCGCGGAGAGGAGGGGGTCCACCTGTTCTCCAAAGCCCCTGAAGGCAGGACAAGAAGCAATGGATGGAAACCAGTCAAGGAGAGAAGCAACTTAGAACTAAGGAGAAATGTCCTGAGATTAGAACAATTAACCAGTGGAACAGCTTGCCACCAGAAATTGTAAATGCATCATCACTGGAAGTTTTCAAGAAGCGACTGGACAGCTGTTTATCCAGAATGGTAGAGGATCTCCTGCTTGAGCAGTAGGTTGGACTACATCTCCAAGATCCCTTCCAATTCTGTTATTCTGTCATTGCGTAAAAGAAGAGAAGGACTAAGGGTGACAGCAATCCATTCCTGCGATGGACCCTCCAATACTTGGGGGGTCCATCACAAAGAAGAAGGAGTCAACCTGTTCTCCAAAGCACCTGAAGGCCAGACAAGAAGCAACAGATGGAAACTAATCAAGGAGAGAAGCAACCTAGAACGAAGGAGAAGTTTCCTGATAATGAGAACAATTTAACCAGTGGAACAGCCTGCCACCAGAAGTTGTGGGTGCTCCATCACTGGAGGTTTTCAAGAAGAGACTGGACAGCCACTTGTCTGGAATGATAGAGAGTCTCCTGATTGAGCTGGGGGTTGGACTAGAAGACCTCCAAGGTCCCTTCCTATTCTGTTCTTCTGCCGTTCCTGCACCGGCTTTTTCCATCTCCCACGGATATTATGCTGCTATAGAGACAGAGCTTAAATAAACTCCAACTTGCTAAGCACCCTAGTGAAAATCATTATACAACGGCAGGCTATCGGTGCATCACAAGTCTTCTTTTCACGGGGTGGGAATACTCGGCACGATTTTCGTTTAGCAAGGTAAGAGGCGCGCCGAAGTCAGGATCCTGAAGATAGAGAAAAGTTTGAAAGAATAATAAGGATAGTAATAATAATAATAATAATAATAATTATGAGAAGAAAGATCTGGACATCTTACCCTTTTCTTGTAGATGTTGTATTACCGAACTCTGTAACATCATCAACGCTAGAAGGGAGTGGAGTATGCAAAGAGGAGGAGGAGAGGATGACGATTGTGGGGTCCTTGGTATCCTCTGAGTTTGATTGTTTGCTTGCAGATGTTTTATAACCCTACTAGGTTACATAATCTGCTAGAAAGGAGTGGGGTATGCTGTCTGTTTATATACAGTAGTGTGCCCTCTTAATTGGGGGCTGGTAGTTTTCTCCTTGGTAGTTCCTTAATTAAGGTATGGTTTCCTGCTTGATTGTTTGTCTGGGGTTAATCCCCGCTTATCTATATACTAGAGAGGAGTTTTCTGCATGGTGTATGAACACCTAGCGAGGTGACCCCACTCCATCCATGAAACTGGAGCAAAGAAGCTCCAGATTTCAGATACCATCCCCAGGGGAGGCCATGTGTTCTGTCCCCACACACCAACAGACGTTCAAGAGTTAAAAGACCAAACCAACCGGCAAAATCCTTTTCCTTATGATAACGGAACTTGGCAACAACCTAGTGGCTGCCTGCCAAGAGTTTATTATTTACAAAGAGGAGAGATAACTTCTCCCCACTTCTGATACATCAAAAGAAACAGCTCAATAATTACGGAGTCAATCAAGTCCAGAGATAATCCAGCAAAGTCTATAGCCAAAAGTCCGGCAATGCAGAATGACGTGGAAGCTTTCAGCTTTGTTCGTCACAAGGTTTGACTGGCCACCACGCTCCCTTTTATACCTTGTGGGGTGTGGTCCAGTGACTCAGCCTAATCTCGGGCACGCCTTTTTTTCTGTTGTGCGCGCTTATCTCTGCGACGCTGGTGTGGATCCAGCCAAGACTCATTACCCTCATCACTGTCCATCTGTGGCTGCGTGGACGTGCTTGGCCCCGGTCCTATCTCTTGCCCTTCGGCGGACACCGAAGGCATTGCCAGAGAGGAGGGTCCTGGAGAGGGAGGCCTTGCCAACTCCTCCCCTTCACTCTCGGAGTCCTCTCCTGCCAATGACACAGGCTCAGGTAACGGAGCCACAACACCATGTTTGCAAACCTCCCCCTTCGGAACGCTCCCCTGGCAGAAT